CTCCTGCTGCTCCTCCTCCTGCTGCTCCTTCTCCTGCTGCTCCTCCTCCTGCTGCTCCTTCTCCTGCTGCTGCTCCTTCTCCTGCTGCTGCTCCTCCTGCTGCTTCTCCCGCTCCTTGTCGTCTCTTCTCTAGAGAGCCGCCTGAAAGGCAGGCAATTTGCGCCACAAAAACCCTGTATGTAGACAGCCCCTGCCGCTTCTGCTGCTGGCGCGACGGTCAGCAGGTCAGGCTGCGCTGTCCTCATATCGCATTGCGCCCCGTCCGCCTCAGCCGGCTTTCATCCACCGCTTTCATTAGTCTCGAATTACGACACCGGAGGAGCAGCCTCTGTCAGTAAGGGGGTGAGCCTCGCCAGCCGCTCGAGCTGTCGAGGGGGCTAATCGCTATCTGACTGGCCGTGTGAGGGGCGGGGCGGGGCGGGGCCCGCGCATCGCGCTCGCATCGCACCCAACCATCTCGCCGCCAGATGGCAGCCCGCGGGCCGGACTGCTCTAATGTTGCATGCACGGCTCAGCGACGGGTGGGGACGGACAGGAAAATCTCTAAATCATTATTTTGCTGAAAAATGGAAAATTGTTTGACAGATTATATTGTGATTTAGAAAATAAGCAACAACAAGTGACCTGATTCTGATCTTTCATAAAATTTTTCCTCGTGTTTTCGTGAATTTTGCACTTTTGCGATATCTTGTGTTGGGTTGCCTGCCCCTCTATGTATGCTCTTGACGCGACACCGCTGCGTGCCGCTCCCGTTCGCATCGCCGCGCACCGCGCCCACGCCCTCCTCCACCTCAATGCGCGCACCGAGGCGCGCTCGGGGCTGCTCTCTGACTGATGACCGACGGGGGCGGGTCGCGCGGAGCCGCGAGAGCGATTTCTAGGCCGACGTCCGTTCTTTTTATTTCTTTCTTCTTTGCCGTGTAGTATAGAGGATTTTTTTTTGTACGCATCTGTCGTGTTTTTGTGGTGCGTTGACACCCCACACTCTCGCCCGGCGCTTAACGTTGGGCCACTTCTTGCAGTCGTAACCCGGCCCTACAGACCTGACCGACTACGTCCTGGCCGCCCAAACCTAAAACTAATGAAAAAATACATAAAAAAATAAGCTTCTTTGCGGAGCAGTTTTGCCGTTTTATCTTGCTCGACTAATTGAGAACGACTTTTCCCTCGTCCGCCCACTACGCCTCCTCCCCCCCTCCCCCGCTCAAGTCTCTCTTGATAATAATAAGGGTCTTTTGCAATCTGGCTGCCTGTCTCCCCCATCTTTTTCTGTTCCTCACAGAGAGAGGTGGGCGAGAAGGAAAAGAATCATGACGTTCTGGACCTCTATCGCGCCGAGGTCCCCCCGGGCCGCGCTCTCTCTCCCGGCAGGTAGGCCACGCGCCCAGCGCCGCTGTCGGGGCCGTGCCTAACCGCCGCTCAGCGGGCGCCCGCCGAGAGCAGCTGGGCCTCCACTTCAACGCCGGTTATTGTCTTGGGAAATAATGCGCTACACTCACTAAAATCTGATGAACATTTTCATATTTTACTGAGTTCTGTAAACATGCTCGGCTTACCCATCTTTTAATACGCCAGTATGAACAAATTTCTTCATACTGGCGCATTAAAAAATGCGTAAGTCGAGCATGTCAACAGAACTCAGTAAGCTATGAATTAAAATGTTCAGAAGATTTTAATGTGTAGCTGTGAAGAGAAACAATAAAAATTGGAAGTCATTTCTTAAAAGGCCATTCTAGGCCCTTTATTCTAAAAAAACATCAGACCAAATAATCACAATTGTCACATACAAAAGTATATATATATAGCTCTAGGGTACTCTCTCTTTTTTAAAACAACTTTACATGATATGTACAAAACATTTGATAAATTTTGCTTGTCACATGGGCAATTTTATGTACAAAAGACGATTATGGACCACGATTGTTGTTTACAAAAATACTACAGGTTTGCGCAGGAAAGGGGGAGGGAAAGAACAAATTCCGCTCCTGCACTTGAACCGATAATGGGAGACCACAGAAACAGAAGAAAAACTCGGTAATAATAGTAATAACAAAAGTAATAATAACAAAAGTGATGATAACAAAAAGTATTATTAATAATAATAGAGATAACATTTGCCGGAGTCGTGGCCGTATCACTTAAGCAGGGGCGAGGAGCCGTAGCCTTGAGAGCCGCAGGTGGGCAGCGCGAAGGGGTTCATGTTGCTGAACGGCACCAGGCTACCCATCCCTGAAACAGACGGAAAAGAGGACAACACTCGTAAGTACAGCACTCAAAGAACCAGGCTTATTGATCATCCCGTCCCCGTCAACCGACATCCCTATATAGACTGTCGGACAACAGTAGAAGAAAAAGATACGGACTATCGGTGCAGTATACTAAATGAAAATAATATATTCTATCGCTGGTACTATCTTATTTCTTAGGAAAAAAAGTCTTCATCGGTCAGCTATCGTAATTGAAGCGGAAAACCATACCATGGTGGATTAGACCAGGAATCGATAAAAATAGAACAGAATGGTAGATTAGATAGTAAATCTAATCTAATCCAGTTTAAATTTAATAGACAAGCGACAATCGTCTGACCCAATCATGCACGAACATTTGTCATTCCTTACTCCTTGTACAGTCATTAATGTTTTCATTCTGCCCCCCCCCCCCCGGTCCTCCGGAAGGACTTCCCCACACACCGCCTCGCCCATGGTGACATTTTGACTGGGGAGCCCCCGCCCGGCCCGGCTGGCCCTTGCTATGGCTCTGCCCCCTCCCCCCCCCCTCTCTCTCTCTCCTAGGCGGGGCGTGCACGGACGGTATCGACCAGAAGACGGGCCGTGCGGCCGTCTAGTCGTTGCGTAGGCTGACCGAAGGGACGGGAGAAGGGCCGACATGTGAATCGGCACTGCGCCGATTACAAATTCAAGGTGGACAGCAGTTTCGACGTGCTGCTGCTGCTGTGTCCGTGTCCCCCTCCCTTGGGCCCCTCTTCCTGCCCGCGGCGTTGCGACGAGTTTGGACAGCTATCTCGAATTAAACCTCCCCATATTCCCAACCACTTTTAGGGTTCTTTGATGTCTTAACAAAGGCATTGCACTCTATTTTTTTTACCACCCCTGCAAAGGTATGACCTTTGTTTTTCCAGTTTTTATCGACCTACGTGTCCCTTGATAAGTTCCACTACATCTACTATCACTGTTAAACCGTGCGAATAAGCACGATGCAGATTTTTTATGCAATCTCTGAATAGTTTAGCACTTCACTCTTGGGGGTTTTAACCCCGGTTATAACCGAATATGTTCGCTTTCCCAGCCCGAGTCCAGTGGCGTATGAACAGCCGCCCCCATCCACCCCCCAACGTTACACTCTCGCGCCGTGGTCGCGCATCTGCCCGAGTCTAGTACTCACTGGACATGATCTCGCTGGAGGAGCCGGAGAACAGACTGCCCGTGGCGGAGAGGTTGGTGAGCTGGGGGCTGGCGGCCCCCGCCACCGGCGTCGCCCCCGGCCCCGCGCCCGCCCCCTGCGCCGGGTAGTCCGCCGAGGAGGGGGTGGAGGACGCCGACGCCGAGAGGAAGCCCCTCGGGTCCGCCCCCCCGGCCGAGACCGCGGAGGCCGCCAAGACCCTCGGGGGGCTGGTGCTCGGCGCGCGCCCGCCGTACTCGTCTGCAACCAGCGAATGAGCTCAGCAGCTGCTCACCTACACGACTCGGCTTTTATTCAGCTACACCTCAGCTACTACTGATGCTCAACAGAGAAGTAGAACACTTGAAAGTGCACAACTAACGCTTTTTGAAGTTCTTAACTTGGAGATGAGCACTTGAAAGTGTTGAAGGCGTTGAACACTTCGCTGAGCTTAGGAGAGCACCGGAGGCTTGGAGGACGGACGCACGGCGTCGAGGTGAAACGAAATCTCCCGCGAGCTCCACGAGTACAAATATTTGTTTTCATTTTATTTTATTTTACTGAAACTGTGTACATTTTCTTCGTCTTTTTTG